ATGTTGCTTTTGGCCACATGGCTTGTGTGTTTATATGCAATTTACCTCAGTCTTGCCACAAAACATGGAGATTTTAGTTCCAACCTGATAAACAACTCTCTCCGCAAAATAAATGAATTGTGTATGTATTTCCTAAGCTAAATATTTATTTATTTCATAGCTCTACATTGGTGTTTGGGTTTTTTTACTACTTGAGCTTTTTGATTCAGGAAAGTACCTTTGAATTTATGAAGCCCTTAAGAATATGCTTAACTTAAGCCTTGTGCTTATAATCAAGTATGTGTTGTTGAGGTGTTTTTCTGAATCTGGCAATTAATTTCTAGTAGACTCTTTTATGTGAACAAAAAGTCATATTTTAAGAGGAGAAAGAAGTGATGTCATGAACTAGTTACAAAACTCCTGAGCTAATTTGCATGAGAAAGATGCGAGGCTCTCTGTATTCTTATATGAGAGATGATAAGAGACCCATCCATTTATCTAGCATAGCGCTTCTTATCCTCAAAACTTTGTAAAGTTTTATTCTCCTATTGTTTGTCATAAAATCCCCTAAAGCTACAGATACGCCTTCCTTTGTCCCAGAAAATTCCTTTGAAGCTTGAATTGAGCTTAAACATTAGAACTGCTGTTTTCTCCTCACTGGAAAAATGTCCATCATGTGGTTTTGCAGCACTGCAAAGGAAAGCAACATGTACTCCTGCAGAGGCAATGCCAAGGCTTGCTACACAGAAAACTAGTCAGAAACATTCATGCACTACATATTTCCAACAGAGCATGTGGATTAAGTGATCCATTTTAACTTCCCCAGGGACTTGGAATACAGCCCCTTAGTTCCAACGGGGAGCAGGACCAGACCACTACAGCATCTCCCCCGATTTCTTACTGATCCCAAACCATCTGCTTCTCTGTGGTAATAGTCTTTTGCTGTTTGTTAACATAGTTAATCCTCTAGCGTAAGCTGTAGTAATTTATGCTGGATGTTTGAGTTTCACGTGGTACTAATGGTATCTAATGAACTGTGACTAACAGAAACATCTGTTCTACACAATAGTTAATTTTTTTCTTTTTTTTTTTTTTTAATCCCAGTGATTAGATATACAAAAATAGTTAGGATCTCTTTAGGCTGCAAAGATTAGAACTCAAACCTTCAGTACTGAAATAGGCCAAATGTAATACTACCCATGCAACCTTGATTTAGCTCCCACTTTTTTATGAATTGTTTGATTTTGATGCATGGTACGTCTTGCTGCCTTTTCACTAACCAAATGAAAAAGGGGCTGAAGGAAGGTTGAATAAGACATCTGTAAGACTGCAGTGTCCTCATTTAACCATATGACTAGAAGCTAGAGAACATCTCTTTATTTATTTGTGTGTAATATTTGTTCTACAGTTGAGCAATATGATAAAAAAACCTATGCAAGTATTCATTTACAAGTAGGAAAACTGCAAAAGTTGAAAAGTTATTAATATTAATGAAGGCCATGCTCCAGAATAACGAGTGAGAAATGGGATATGCTAAAAACAACCAGTTTTATACTGTTTGTATTTTGAAAGGAAAGTAAAAAATTTAAAAAAAAAAGACGGAAGTGTTACTTACAGTGTTGCAGAGTTAATAATGCAATAGAAATCTTAGTTCTTTCTAATTTGAGGGCTTAATTTCTTAGTCTTAATGTTGTAGTAATGTGGTTTCCAGATTTAATATCCTTCTATTTATTTGTTTTTAACAACTCAGAGGGAAAATAAGAGAAACACATTGTGAAAATGCTGTAATGAGATCTTAGTGCTACTAACGTGCCTTACATTTTCTATAAAGTTGCTGATTGCATTTAGAGTCACCTCAGCAGCACTAAATCATTTCAGCAGTTTACTCTTACCAAGTGTCATTAAATTTCCTGAAGTTTAGAAAATGCATTTGAACAAAACAGGAAGAAAATGTCTTGTTCTTGTATGAAAATGTCACTTTATAACATCTATAGTTTTAAAAATAAAAACCAGATTTTCTTCAGGCATGAACCCTTTATTCTTCCCCTGTGGGACTCCTAAGGAACTCTTTAAATTCACGTGATCATGCCGTTAAAATCTGGGCTGACTCAGCAAAGCATTTAACTATGTGCTTAAATTCAATTGCAATCAATAGAATTTGAGCATGTGCTTAAATATTATGTTGAAAAGAAATGGATTTACACACGTGTTTTAAAGCTAAGCATGTACCAAAGTAGGCCCATAATACGTCAAAGCAAATTGGAAGAATTCAGGTTGTAAAAGCCCTACCTTTGTGGTGACTGACTTCATAAGTAAAGTATTTTGATATACCTTTTATATATAATTTAAAATGTACAGTATAATGCTGTAGTTATTATGGTCTATGAATTAGCTAAGATAGGACAGTTTATGTGTCTGTCAGCTTAAAATACGTACACCAGAATTAAGAATACTTGCAGCTAAATATCTAAATGTACATTTTCTACTCTTACATATGGTTTGCTTTTATTTAGTTACTGAAGTATTTGAAGTCATTTAGAACTGTAAAGGCTATCTTTAAAAATACAGCTGCATATATAAGAAGTTACAAATACGTATGGGTACCTAATACTAGGATCCCACACTCCACCATTTTCGATGTTCTGACCTGTTTTTAACTTATTCCTCCAGTGTTTCCCTGTAATATGAAACTTGATTATTTTGAGGCACTGAATCACCAGACAGCATCATGTTCTGGTTGGCTGAAGGGCATAAGCAATTCCACTTTTTTATTTGCTTCTTTCTATAAAAAGCTTTTTCTGCATTAGAGAAGATTTCTGTTTCTCCTGGTGATCCCCCCTGCACTGTGTTAAACTTCTTCTGCCCTGTACTGTGAAAGTGGCACGTATTTCCCACAAAACATTTGGGTATCTTTATTTTCCAGAGAAAATGTTTATGACATCAAATGGTCAGCAGGCAATGATGCAATGGTATGTGTTATGCTCACTTGCTGTCTTGCACTGTAACACCCTACCTCTCGCTGTGCTGCCATTGTCCCTGCTCAGACCTATGCCCGTGCCCCTTTGCAGAGCTGGATAGATGCCATCTGCAGAGCTTCACTGCTTCCCCAGGAGCAGTACTGCTGTGGAAAATGGGGGGAGGGAAGAGAGAAGGCAAGGAGAGCAGGGTGGTGAGCAGCAATAGGTGCTAACTTGAGATCCTGCAGGGAAACCCCTGCTGCTGCCAGCTGCTGTGGTCTCCCATCTGTCCATCTGGGACAGATCCTAACCCTCAGCAGGACCAGGTCACTTGGCACATGGAGAAAGCAAATGGGATGATGGAGGAGACTTGAGGCACAGACCTCCCAGATGCCATCAAGTACCCAAACATCAGAGGAGTGTCACAGTACTTTGTTACCCTGAATCTTTTCTTTGGTAACACAATTGTGAGAAGTATATAAAAAAATATACTTCCTTTGACTATGATCTGTCATATAAGTTAAAAGGCAGAACCAGGCCTCAAATAATGGGCAGATTCTTGTGTCCTCAGGAGCAAAAAATTATGTCAATAGTTGAGAATTTAGTGGATTTCTAGAAAGTTCCAAGACGACCTCTGTGTTGCCTTCTTGATTACAGTGAGGAATCGCATCCCAGTGGCCACTCTTGCTCCCCTAGAGTAGGGACATGGAAGGGGACTTGTAATTTTGGTAGGTGAGTAGTCAAGCTGATGCATAATATATGTAGGTAGCAACAGGCTTTAGTCACCTGTGTAAAAAGTGCTATAAGGCAGAACAGGGCTCAGAGAAGTAAAATATTATCTGTAACAGTAAAATGTGTAGGTATATTAATCAACAAATGAGATATGCAACTTCTGAAATATAAAAAATGAACTTCACGTATCATGTGTGAAACCTTCCCAACCACAGAGGAGCATAGTGCTGTTGTCTAATACACTGTCAAACGCTGCTCTTCTGAAACCACATCATCTTGTAGAACTTAAAAGACGCCGTGCAAATTGCCTAATGTTTCTAAAAATAAGTGTGAGCTGCTGTCTCTCTCCAAATTTTAACGACTCAACCAAACAGTAACATAGACACGGTGAGCGTGTCTAACATGCTGTGCCACAACTGGTGACTTACTATAAGAATTATATGAAGCATGCTAAATACGGAAAGGCTGCTTATAACTACACGCACAAAACCCGGTCCCAGGTTGACATCTGCCCCCGCCTTCTGCTACCCCCAACCCGATTAGCTGCAGAAATCGCCTCTCCGGCGTCGGCTGCAGGTCCTGCAGGGAGCGGGCAGCCGCCTGGCTCCCCTGCCAAAGCCAACTGTGGCGTAGCCAGAGAAACGGGCAGCAAAAATAGAACAGCAGGATGGCTGCGCGTGGGCGAGGCAGAAACCACATCGCCAGCAAAACCTCCCAGCGTTATTTTAGGACCGATGCAGACAGAGGCAGTGGCGTTCTGCTCGCTTTTCACAAAACACTCCCCGGGGGAGGGTGAGGAGGGAGAGGGGCGCGAGTCCCGGGCAAGGTGCGTTCCTGTCCCGCTCCTGCCCTCCCTGCCTCCCCGGCCTCCCTCCCTGGCGTCTCCCCACCGAAACGGGCTGGGCAGGAGGAAGGGGTTAATTGAGCTCGAGGCCGAGCGGCGGAGAGAGGACGGGCGGCAGTTTGAAAGACAGAGACTGGACAGCTGTGTTTGCTGTGGTATTTTTAAACGCATTAATGCAGGCTCCAATCACCCGGCCATGCTTGACCTATTTTTGGCTCAGGCCGGCCATTGTTCTATTTCTGCCGCCGCTGGGCCACGAGGGTGTCAATTCAAATGCAAATGAGTTATCGCTGCTGCTCCCGCCAACTTCGCCCAGCCGCCTGGCCAAGGGACAGGCGGCCGGCAGAGGAGAGGGGCGCGGGCACAGCAACGCGGGACTAGCCTGGGGTCATTCAGATTAAATCCTCCGGGGCTCCTGGTCCCTGGAAAGGTGGCTTATTCGGGTTGATGGTTTGCTAGAGGCAGTCCCCCCCCCCCCCCCCCCCGCCCTGCCAGGAAGCCCAGAGCGCAGAGATACTTCTTCATTTCTCCTTCCACCTGCCGTTGGCTGCCCGAACGCAACTGCTCCAAGTCGGCAGCGCGCAGCCCCCCGCACGCTCACGGCTCCCTTCCAGCGGCCGGGGGCTGCCGCCTGTGGATTTGGGGGTTTTCCCCTCTCCTGATAGATACTTGTGCAAATGCTTAAACACTGCTAATTGCCGAAGTATATTATCCTACAACTCTCGCTGAGGAGGTAGGACCGCAGAGGGTCGTGCCCGACGCCCATGTGCAAGTGCAGTGATGAATCTCTTGTGTAGCTGAAGTGCAGACCAGTTGGAATATGCTGCAGACAATTTACGAGAGTGAATCGTGTTTTTCCTCAGATGGAGTTTCTGGACGCGAACAGCTCTTGGCTCAGCAAAGAATGCACAGTATGATCAGCTCAGGTAAGAGACTTCAGTGGTTGACCGGGAAAATACATGACAAGAAAACACCCTTCCTTTACAGAAGTGACTTAGTTTTTTTGGGCTTTATGTAAGTTGTTGTTAAATAGTTCTGGTAGTATTTTAGATAGCAGCTGCTGCTTTTGTGGGGAGTTTGTCTCCTTTCTTCTGCTGCTTTCCAGACACAGCAAAATGCTCACAACTGAAATCTAGTTTGGGTTTCCTTGTTTGTTTTGTTGCGGGATTGCAAAATGGGGCTCATGATACAGGCTTATTCACAGGGAGAGACCTTCTCAGACAGACGTTGTCAGGAGGCTGCACTTGGAGCCCCTCATAGGCAATTCTAATCATATGGCTGTTGTAAACAGGATTTGCTCTTTCTGTGAGTTTCCTTTTCCCTAGTTTGCATATGAAGGGAGTTTAATACCAATCCCTTTGTCTTTTCATTACAGTGTTACTTTAAAATGTCTTTAAACTGCATGGCTTATTTTGTTACTTTAAAAATATTTGTGAACCTGGCAATGGTAGTTATATGTTATGACTCACTGAGGTGTAAATTGGTTGTGTTGTTTAATGAAGGTATTTCAAAGCTGCTCTGAAAGAACATTGCATGTATTTGAAGCTACCCTTGTGTTTTATAGTTTCTTTGCTAGCTGCATTTGAGACCTGCAAATGATGGACTGAGGATAAATTAAGCTGGAAGAATTGTTGCCATTCAGCTAAGATATCAATTTAGACAGGCTAAAAAGTCAAAATTTCAGGTTGCTCTTGCCTATTCTCTCCTAAGATGTGAATTCCAGTTCTGTTTTTATTGGACTGAAACTCTTGTCTTTTGAGGCACAATGTTACCTGTTTTACATCTTTTAAAACCTAGGTTTCTGACTTTGTTCTTCATAAAGTTAGCTTTATAGAGGACCATATGTAGAATGGCAAAGTGAATTGTTTGCATGTACCCTAGTCTTCATTTATACCCCCTTTTCTCTTTTTTCTTTTTCTTTTTTCATTAATCTTTTTTCTTTTTTCTTTCCTTTGCTTTTCTTGTTTTTCTCTCTTTTTCTTTTTTTTTTCCTATTTCTTTTTTTTCTTTCACAAAACTCTACTGTCACCAGTTTTTGAAAAGAAATATGTGTGTAGACCATACCTCTCTTCACAAGTTACCTGTTTTGGTACACCTGTTGAGCCCATGTTTGTTTGTTTGTTTAAAAATTGTTTATTTTCCTGCTTTATAGAAAAAGAGCTTAGAGTTTTACTTGTGATCCAGTTACAGTTCCTTTGTCAAGGACACAAGTCAGGTGAAGATGTGTTTATAAATCTGAACAATGAAGCTTTAGCAAAGACAGTGGATAAAAGCAAAAGTTTCTCTGAAAGTGTTAAACTTCTGGAAGGCCATCTACAATGCCAGCCTCTTGCTCAAGAATTATTGCTTCTCCTTAGTTTTCCTGAACAGCTCAACAGGTGTCCAGCACTTCTGTATTGGTCAGAGATAAGACTGACTGCTTCCCCTCCCTCCTGTTTGTTGGGTTTTTTTGTTTGTTTTTTATTTTAGTACTATGTCCAGTTGAAGTTAACTGTACACAAGCGAAAATCTGGCATTTTTATCTCGCTGTGCTGCCTTGTAGCTTCCAACTAATTTTGTGTGAGTAATAGCAGTTTGAAACTCAAGAAAAGGAGGTAATTTTCTGTAAGTTTATAGCTCTGCTTTTCTTCACTGGAAACACGAATATCATGTAGCTGTTGATTTTTATCTGATAGTACTTTAGGTAGGTCCACATAACATATACAATTTCCTCTGTAGTGCCAAGTAGAATAGAGAGAGGGCTTTTTTAGACTAAAAATAAAAACCCCAAAACCTTAGTCGAGAACGTTACCCAGGTGAAAGATGTTTAAGTATATATATTCTATACAACACAAATTATTCCTCTGTGTTTCAGTTGGCCTTTAAAATACACAACTAGACTGCAGGTAGTTGACATTGTGCATAGTCTGCAACTCAGCTCATGTCATGTGAAACCACAAGGCCTGGTGCTGCTTCTGATTACCTTCAGCTCCCTCCAGTTCACAGTCTTGCAGTATCAGGCCTGGTAACTTTTCAGGTATTGTCTCCCTTTATGCTGCGTATAGGGAAGAAAGAAATAGCCAGAGTATGACGATATACAGTATCATTTGGAGTAGCTAGAATCAATCATTTGAATTTTGCTTATCACAATGTCCTTACTTCAAAGTTATCTTCCCTTACATGGATGTGACTTTTAGTCAGGTTAAAAAGTTGCACATATTGCAGAGAAGAGCAGATCCCTGAACATTTACAGTTTGCACCCTTGATATGCTTGCTTCAAAGACTTCAAGCATGATTTGAAATAGTCAGTGGATTTTTAGGTTTGCTGTTAATCCAGTTGCAACGCACATATATTATGCAACTGTGATTTTAAACTGGGCTGGAGTGATCCCCAAAGAGGACAGGTTCAATGGCCAGTGAGTACGTATTTGCAAAGCAAAATGTCTAAGAACTCTCTCACAATAGCAGACATAGGAAATACTTCTGTCATGTGAAACAGTTCTGGTATTCCCTCAATTACTGCTTTGCCTGTCTGTCTCCATCCCTGCTTGTAAGTCATACTATGAATGAGATGATCTGGATAGGTACCAATCAAAAGTCTAATTATGAATGGAGCAATCTAGATCGGCACTGACTCAAGAAGCTGTGTAATTTGCAGACACCTACACCTTACTGCAGAGAGCAGTTTCAGCTATCTTGAGAAGACTGAACTAGATTCTCCCATATGGTACTGTTGCTGTAAAATGCAGTAGCAAGTGCTGTGCGTCTTTATTTAGGAAAATGATGCTGATGTATTCTCATTTGGTACCATAATTATCTTAATTTCATAATTTAAAAAATAAACCTGAAGTCTAAAGCCTCTTATTTAGCTGGAATCTATGCTGCCCCTTTTATTCTACCCAAAAACCCTCAACTTCCATGTGTGTGCAATGCCACAGTGGACCCTAACATTCAGCTGGCCCCTGGTCTTACCACAATACAGATAATAAACTGTAAATCCTTGAAAAAAAGCATTTGGTGCAGCACAGTCCATGGGAGAAACACTCGTTAAAATATAGTTAATAAATAACTGGTGCAGGGCTAAATTTCTCAAATAGAGGGCACTTGTGTGAAGGAGGAAGAAGAACCTACACAACCATGGTATCTCTAGATGTGAGACTTCAAGAAGCAGTGCCAAGTTCATTAACTTCTGGTGATTTAATATACTGTGCTGTTTTTCCAAGGGGTAAGGTTGCTAAGTTTGCTCCACTGGCCATATCTTGACATACAGCCTTGCAGCGGCCTGCCTGAATTCCACCTTGGCTTTTATTGAATAAAGCATCCTCTGCTTCCTGCCTAAAGCTGTTGTGTTGAAAAATCAAGAGTTCAAGGAGATTGTGAGCTTAAAGCTTGGCTTGTCAGCGAGTTGACAGGTGACCTGAGCAAGTTACACAATCCTGCTTACGTCAGCTAACCCTTCAGTGAAATATGGAAAATTATACCTGTCAGGCTCAGGAATCAATAGAGCAAAACTATTCTAAAGGGGATATAATGATTCAGAATGATTAATTTGATTGACTTCATCTACCTACAGGCTTGTAAAACACCTGCAATTTCACAAATGTAGTAAGTGAATGTAGAGTATTTTATTCTCTGCACCAGTCAGGAAATTCATGCTGTGTCACTGGAATATAAATGACAGAATCAATGCTACGCACCTCATGTTGTACGTGGGTTGACAGGTCCTCATGAGCTATTTTCCCTTAGTAAACCCCAGTGTACAGATTTTGTCTTGTATGTTGTATCTATCGTGTATCTGCATGGCCTCATATATACATGGCTTGTTTTACACATGGATTTATATTGCCTTCAGCAAAATTCTTTGGTATTTGCTCTTCTATTTTTCCTGACCAAACAAAACCTTCACCTGCTCACCTGTTCCTGTGGAGAACCTGAAGAAAGCAGGTTAATTTATAGTTTTGCTCTGATATTCATGAAAAACTTGACTTATTTGCATATCCGAATCAGGTAACATAAACTTCTTACAGATACAAAATGTTGCGTATCTGGTATCTCAGGCCGTAACACATCAGAGAAAAGAGAGAGTGAGAATAGATATGCTGAGCTTTTACTTTGTAATTCTCTTCAGAGTAATGAAAAAATTGAGTGTGAAAATTCAGTACAGGGAAGTTCTGGATAACAGCCAGAGTGGCTTTTTCATTGCCCATTGTAAAGGCTAGGTACAAAAAAATCTAGTGCTTCATTGTAGTAGCTGAAGTATTTGAATTAACTGTTAGGGAAGAGTGAGGCCTTAGCCTTATACAATTAATACAATGAGAAGAAACAAGCAAGTCTTATGTAGTTAAAATCTCACTGATTTTGGGTAGAGGCTCTGCCCAGCAATGTATACTGGACAAGACATCGGTTATGAATTCAGTTGAACAAAAATGTGATAAAATGGAATGAAGCTGCTTTTTCTGTTTTGCGTTATTGAGAAGACATTGATTACAGACTAATGATGCCGGTTTCATGTATCTGATGCTGTAACAACGCTGTAACATTGCCTTTTCTTTCTTTTTTATTATTCAAGTCCCAGCTTCTGAAGCCATGTGATTACCTGACAGCCTTGCTTTGTATTACAAGGTATATTTATAGGTTGTGGGAAAAGCCTGGAATAAGAATTTCAAAGTACAAGATTGACAAGAATAGCAAGTTACAAGAGCTGGAAAGTAAATAAAAAAATATGCAGAACATTACTTCAAAACCTCTTTCAGCGTCTTTCCGGAGACCATTAAACCCTGCATTTAGTACAGAGGTTCACTAGTGCTGGCACTAGGACACTAGCTCCCCTCCCTCCGGTGCGTTGAGCTAAATTTCTTTATTGGAAAAGAGCTTTTTACTTCAGCCATTTATTACTTTAGCTGTTCAGCTTTATAATACTCATTGGTTTGCACTGCACTCAAACACG